TCCAAATTCCTCTGCTTGAATAAAAAGGAATGAGAAACAGTTGTACATATTAAATAATGTTTATCCTACCACTCCTTTTACCAAGGTTGGCCTCAAAACTTATTTCATAAAATGCTCCCCAAAATAAATGCTTAAGACTCAAGGTACATTTTTATCTGGCTTTTCTTATGAAGGCTTAATAGATTATTAACTGCACAGCAGCATTTTAAGAAAGAAGCACTAAGCTTTGTTAATGAAATGAATGAATTGAAGAGTTCAAACTGAGTTCAGGGTTCAGCTAAAGAGTTACAATTTAGGATCATCTGTATGAATTTGCCAAAATCAAGCTGTATTACATTTTAGGGTGCTATAAACACTATGAACTGTTACTTGAAAAATTTAACCCTGTTCATTCTGTTGCAATACTCCCAAAAGAAATTATTTACTTCGTAGATCTTTTCAAATGCAGAAATGTGTACATGTGTACACACACAATATTTAAACACATCCTATAACATGCGTTCATTAAGATAGGCCAGCCTGACAGAATACCTCTTCTGTATTAATTTATTTGCATAATTAGATAATTTACTACAATCAGTATACAAAATAGTTCATTGTACACCTGCACATAGCTAAGTCATCACTGCAAGATATATGTATCCAGTGGCATGGGTTGCTACTCAGTATTATGTATTGAATACTGTAATGGGGTGGTCACCCGCTCCGGCCCAGAAAGGGTTAAAACATCCCTGGGAAAGGGCTACCCCGGGGAGCCAGAAGGCTACGCTGATGGAGAAGGCAGTCACAGCTGGGGCCACGCCCCAATCAGGCCACAGTTGGCCCTATAAAAGGCTGTGGGCCAAGAGCTCAGAGAGTCTCTCTCTAGCTGTGGAGAGAGACGGGCCTGAACAGTTGGGCCAGCTGGTGAAGGAACAGCGGGCCCTGGTACAACTCCTCCGTCAGGAGTTTCAGAGGAAATGGGGAGAAGGGTATGAGAAGCTGAGTGCCAGGGCCAGGAGGCCTGTGGCAGAGCGCCAGACTTGCTACGCCTGCGGGCAGAATGGACATGTAAGATGGGACTGTCCCTACTGGGATTGGGGGCAGGGTGCCTCACCCGGGGAGGGACAGGGGTGAGTCCCTAGGACAGTCCGCTGGGTGAAGGAACCCAGGCGGCTGCCGACGTGTTGGGCCTGTGGGCGACGAGGCCACATGCAGTGGACGTGCCCAGGCCCGATGCGGAGGGTCTGGGTTAGTCCCAGCGAGAGGGCGGGACCCCAGATGGACCATGAGAGTCCCAGGGCAGCAAGGAGGTGGGAAGCCTGCTGGAGCTGCCAGATACCGGGCCACATTAGGAAGCACTGCCCCCTCAAAGAACTGAGGGGTGGCCGAAGGAGGTGCCTGGGGGCCCAAAAGGGCTAAAACAGGAGGAGGTGGCGAAGGCAGCAACGGGGATGGAGGGACCCCACGGGAGGTCGGGACCCAGACCGTCGCTGGGCAGGTCTTCAGCCAAGGGACAGAGAGCGAGTGGGTCCAGCAAGAGGCCGGGACCCAGACCCTGCAAGTGGAGGGTCAGGGGGATGCAGACCTACTGGCGTGGCTGGAGGCCGTGGAGCTGGCCCGCTGGAAGGCAGAGGCACACTTCCGGGAGATGGCCTGAGGCTGAGAAGTGTCAGAGAGGAAGCGTGTGGCCCAGGAGGGACGGCCCTGGAAGAGTAGCTCTGGGGAGCCCAGGCCAAGCGTCCCCCCTACCCCCAGGGGTGGGAATTTTGAGGGGGGGGGTAAAGGGGCACCGGGGTTCAGGAGGGACACGGGGGCCTGAGACAAGTGGGACATCAGCCAGTGGAGGGCGCTCCGGAGCTGGAGAGCTCATTCCCAGGACGACCAGCAGGAGGCGCCGCACCGGTGAGTCATCGCATTGCTACAAATACATACTCCCCAACATAGGACTAGATTCCATATTACTCTGGTCCTTTTGCACAACTCAGGCAATGTAACCAGTTCCATCCCACCCCCAATCCCTCCTGTATGATCAGCACTTAGATGCAGTGGAGAATTGACTTCATAATGTGTACATGCATGGGAGGGAGGGCAGGTGACGACAAGGTAGAGAAGACAGAGAGCGAAGAAGCAACTATAACACTGAATTTCCTCACTTTTGTAAATTTAAGTCAGGACTGTAACATTGCATTAATATTTTTACAGCATGAGATTTCTTAAATTCACCACAACATATGGGCAGTGGGAAGCATGTTTCATATTATTATGAACTAAAAGCTTTGTGAGAACTTTTCCATTTACAAAACACTGTTTCCTTTGTGAAATAGTAAACATTTAAAAAAATCTATACTGACTTCTTATATAGACAATATTCTGATTATATGAAGTGTCTTTCAGACATTCATGTTTAAACAACTTCTGAATATGGCTCTGAACCAATTTCCAGTGACAAATAATTATAGCGGCGTCCCATAAAGCAATGGTATAGATGGCGTCCAAAATCAAATCCTTCATTTAAATTCTTTAAGGAATGGTCATATTTAAAACAATTTTGCCTATTTAAAATTGTTCTGGAATATATTAACCCATGGCTTGAAAAGCTACTCATCCGTTATGAATAGGTATCTTTCCCATGCAAGTGCCACTAAATTCTGTTGATTTTAAGTTTTCTTACATTAAAAAATCCAGTCTTTATGATTGTGCCAATAGCTTTTGAAACATGAACCTCAAATGTTAGCCAATGTGATGTTGTCTTTGTAAGTCCGTAGACAAACAGCTTCAGTGCTTCTGCTTCTGGTAGTATCTTTCCTCCAGGTCAGTGAAAACTGTTTGGTCTGGTCAGTTTTCACTCCTGCTATTGAAAACTCTGGGGACATCAGTGAAATTGACAGAATCAGGTCAATTTTCCAATCTGCAGCTTGAGAAAGTTCTTTCCAAAACTGGAAACAGGCACTGGAGCTATTCTCTGGGGGAGGACGACTCAAAAACAGAGACCAGAGAAGGGGATGATTAGCAGAGACATCACCAACACCCTTGCAGAGGAGGCTCTGTAGTGGTGGTGGTGGAAAAACAGAGAAAATATCCTCGTTCCTTCCTTCCAGCAGATAAATGGGGTGTACCTTTGTCAGACGCCTACTAGCTAGAGCAGGGGTCAGCAACCTTTCAGAAGTGGTGTGCTTCATTTATTCACTCTAATTTAAGGTTTTGCATGCCGGTAATACATTTTAACAGTTTTAGATGGTCTCTTTCTATTAGTCTATAATATGTAACTAAACTATTGTTGTATGTAAAGTAAATACGGATTTTAAAATATTTAAGAAGCTTCATTTAAAATTAAATGCAGAACCCCCTGGACCGGTGGCCAGGACCCAGGCAGTGTGAGTGCCAGTGAAAATCAGCTCGCATGCCGAAAGCGGCATGCGTGCCATAGGTTGCCTACCCCTAAGCTAGAGGCTACAAAAATGGAGCCCCCAAACAGGGTCCAGGGACAGCAATCTAAGAGTCTGGGAGAGCTTCATTTCTCACTTAAAGTGTTGCCCCTGTATAGAGGAGCCTCTAATCTTAGATTAGTCCTCTGGCTTAATCTTCTGACTATTAGGAGTCAGGTAAATTTTTCAATGCTATGGAGGAATTGGGGTGAGTGGATGTGGGTGGGAAAATGACAGAAAAGACAAATATGGGTGCTGAGGGAGAGAGATTTTGGGAGAAATGGCAGACAAAACAAAGGGGAAGAGAGAGAGCATGCAACAGAGTAAAAGAGAGAGGAAGAGAAGAGGATACTGAAAAAGAGGAAATAACTGATATTGAAAACACAGCAAGAAAAGATATGCCATGTCTTAGAAAAAAGAAAAGAAAAAAGGTATTGTGAAGGCAGAAGGAAAATAAATATTAACAAAAGCAAGAGAGATTATGTAAGTTACATTTTAACATATATATTAAAAGGAAGTTGATTCACAATGTTATAATTAAACACAATACTACACAGCTATTCTAGTCCATTAAATTGCAGTGGGTATTTTTCACCTTGGCTAGTCAGTGTCATGTACATTTTTCAAGGTCTGCAATAAACCCATGCTATAAAACAGTCTAGCGAGCTTGTCTGATAGTATAGAACATCTTGACATCCGTGCATGACATTTGTGAATATATATGCCATTTAAAGTGTAGTTCTACTCTGAAAAGTGATCATATATATATATATATGGTGATCCGATGTTTCCTGTCTCAAAGTTTTCTGTATCTAATACAATAAGTTTACTTTTTTTTTTAAATGCCAGGCCTACAACCTCATCCTGGGCTCAGAATGAAGCTGGGTTCCTTCCATCACTTGCATACAGATTCTGCAGGCCAAATTCTGATATAAGTTACACCCATGTAACCCCACTGCCTTCAATGACTTTGCATAGATGTAGCTCATTGAAACTCATCAAACATTTGTGTTGATGATGCACAAGGTGGAGTTGATCCAGTATACTCAATTGTAACTCTGTTGGCTATGCAGTGCTAACAGGACTAAAAATCAGTAAAAATATATTTTTTGCCATTAAAATTAACATAAGTGATTCTGAGTACACATAAAGAACAGGGTTTTTTGAGTAAGGTACCATTTTTATATGGTCACTTTACAGAGTAAAACCACAGTTTAAAGTTTTTAACTTGCAGCATTAAAATTCTTCATTCTTGTTCCAGAAACATTTCCCCCAGAAGGTGGAAATGTCCAACCATTTCTGTGTTTAGTGCTATCGTTGCCATGTTTTCTCCAGTCACCTAGGGAAAAAATTTTGCCCACTAAATTTTAAAGACATGAACTCAGCTTCCTACCGGCATTTGTTTTTGTAAAATATAAAACTAAAAGGAAAACCTATTGGTTACATTATGAAATATTATAGTGATCAATATACTATATGATCAGTGACAAATGTAACTAAACATTGTATACTTCCTCTTGGAAGATGAAAAGCAGAAAAAAAACCTACATATTATTCCCTAACAGAATATAGGTATAAACATCAAGTACTTACATCAATTAAATCTGAAAGGTCATGAATATAATACTTGAAAACAGAAGCGTTGGTTGCTTCAAGGGTTAGTAGGTACTCATTTCGGGCTTTAATAGATTTCAGCTTGTTTTCAGAGTATTTTGCTTGACGCTGAAAAAGAAATTGTGTATTAATATAGTGAGAAAGTTTGAATACCTCAACTTTATCATGCAGCAAAATAGATAAGCGTGCATTAATTGTTACTATCAACTAGAAAGAAACTTCAATTTTTGCTATGCATTTAACAGAAACACAATTTTAAAACCCCATCAATAGAAAATGTAATTTATGAACAAGCCATGTAATGAGGAAATTACTGGGAGTAAAAACACTCACTATCTCTGAATTGCAAGTTCTCTGTAAGCTACTACTAGTTTATAACATTAATATATCTAACTAGCTACTTCTAGTTTATCACAGATTATATTAATCTCATCATATGCCACATATTTCCTTAATGGACAATCTCTCTCAAACCATTCTATAGAAACATATACATCTAAGATACAGCTTCAAAGGAATCTCAGAACTGAATTTACTTCAAATTAAGCAGGATAACAAGCTTTTAATGAAACCCTATTTACTTTTTCCTTCATTTTCTCAATCTTCTTCACAGAACTCCTCCTCTGGTGCCTCTCCTCTAGTCGAATATGAAAGACAGGGTCTCCTGACCTCCCAATCTGTCTTTCTTCTTGCTTCTCTGCTTCCTTCAGCTTGCTTTCTGCACTGATGCTCTCTGCATGATACATATGGTATGTTTTCATGACCTGTGGAAGAGACAGTCAAAGAAGAGTTAAGAGGCAATGGATATAAAAAAGCTTCTCATAAAAAAAAAAAAATCACAGGGCCCCTGAATAAAAACACCATCTTATGAAGTCTTGAATAAATATCTTTGCCAACAGCGTTTAGATTGTATTTTTCCTTCCTGCTCCATTTAATTTAATCTCAAGAGTTAGCAGCAGGCATGCATGCCTTGCTCATGTGACTTACTTTCAAGGTTGACTGTACATGACATTATAGATTCATAGATTCTAGGACTGGAAGGGACCTCGAGAGGTCATCGAGTCCAGTCCCCTGCCCGCATGGCAGGACCAAATACTGTCTAGACCATCCCTGATAGACATTTATCTAACCTACTCTTAAATATCTCCAGAGATGGAGATTCCACAACCTCCCTAGGCAATTTATTCCAGTGTTTAACCACCCTGACAGTTAGGAACTTTTTCCTAATGTCCAACCTAGACCTTCCTTGCTGCAGTTTAAGCCCATTGCTTCTTGGTCTATCCTCAGAGGCTAAGGTGAACAAGTTTTCTCCCTCTTCCTTATGACACCCTTTTAGATACCTGAAAACTGCTATCATGTCCCCTCTCAGTCTTCTCTTTTCCAAACTAAAGAAACTCAATTCTTTCAGCCTTCCTTCATAGGTCATGTTCTCAAGACCTTTAATCATTCTTGTTGCTCTTCTCTGGACCCTTTCCAATTTCTCCACATCTTTCTTGAAATGCGGTGCCCAGAACTGGACACAATACTCCAGCTGAGGCCTAACCAGAGCAGAGTAGAGCGGAAGAATGACTTCTCGTGTCTTGCTCACAACACACCTGTTAATACATCCCAGAATCATGTTTGCTTTTTTTGCAACAGCTTCACACTATTGACTCATATTTAGCTTGTGGTCCACTATAACCCCTAGATCCCTTTCTGCCGTACTCCTTCCTAGACAGTCTCTTCCCATTCTGTATGTGTGAAACTGATTTTTTCTTCCTAAGTGGAGCACTTTGCATTTGTCTTTGTTAAACTTCATCCTGTTTACCTCAGACCATTTCTCCAATTTGTCCAGATCATTTTGAATTATGACCCTGTCCTCCAAAGCAGTTGCAATCCCTCCCAGTTTGGTATCATCCGCAAACTTAATAAGCGTACTTTCTATGCCAATATCTAAGTCGTTAATGAAGATATTGAACAGAGCCGGTCCCAAAACAGACCCCTGCGGAACCCCACTCGTTATGCCTTTCCAGCAGGATTGGGAACCATTAATAACAACTCTCTGAGTACGGTTATCCAGCCAGTTATGCACCCACCTTATAGTAGCCCCATCTAAATTGTATTTGCCTAGTTTGTCAATAAGAATATCATGCGAGACCGTATCAAATGCCTTACTAAAGTCTACAAAAACAACAAGGAGTCTGGTGGCACCTTAAAGGCTAACAGATTTATTTGGGCATAAGCTTTCGTGAGTAAAAACCTCACTTCTTCGGATGCATAGAGTGAAAGTTACAGATGCAGGCATTATATACTGACACATGGAGAGCAGGGAGTTACTTCGCAAGTGGAGAACCAGTGTTGACAGGGCCAATTCAATCAGGGTGGATGTAGTCCACTCCCAATAACAGATGAGGAGGTGTCAATTCCAGGAGAGGAAAAGCTGCTTTTGTAATGAGCCAGCCACTCCCAGTCCCTATTCAAGCCCAGATTAATGGTGTTGAATTTGCAAATGAATTGTAGTTCTGCTGTTTCGCTTCTCCCTTATCCACAAGACTCGTTATCCTATCGAAGAAAGCTATCAGATTGGTTTGACATGATTTGTTCTTTACAAATCCATGCTGGCTGTTCCCTATCACCTTACCACCTTCCAAGTGTTTGCAGAGGATTTCCTTAATTACTTGCTCCATTATCTTCCCTGGCACAGAAGTTAAACTAACTGGTCTGTAGTTTCCTGGGTTGTTTTTATTTCCCTTTTTATAGATGGGCACTATATTTGCCCTTTTCCAGTCTCCCGGAATCTCTCCCGTCTCCCATGATTTTCCAAAGATAATAGCTAGAGGCTCAGATACCTCCTCTATTAGCTCCTTGAGTATTCTAGGATGCATTTCATCAGGCCCTGGTGACTTGCAGGCATCTAACTTTTCTAAGTGATTTTTAACTTGTTCTTTTTTTATTTTATCTGCTAAACCTACCCCCTTCCCATTAGCATTCACTAGGTTAGGCATTCCTTCAGACTTCTCGGTGAAGACCGAACAAACAATTGCTATTGTTCTGTTTGCTATTTATACTGCACTTTGCATCTCCAAAGCACTGTTCTAACCACTCTGGATAAGGAGAAAAGTGATGGAAAATTAGTCCTAGTTTAAGCAGGTTTGTCTTTCCCCCTCACCTCTATCCTGGGGAAAAAAGCAAGTAACATACACCTCACAACAAACCTTTTGGCAATGGAGTAAACCCACCACCCCAAAGTAGAGTGGGCATGCACCTGTCTGTTTTTTGGTTTCTATATTGGTTTTGGGGAAAGAACAAAACACAGAATCCTCAAGCTGATAACTTCCTCTCTTCTTCCGGCAGATATCACCTTTGGGCCAGGCCATGCAGATGATCTTCTCCTCAGATGAGTCCGCCAGCAGGAAGTAAATTGGCCGTTCCTGCTTCAGTAGGTGGGATGCGCTGAAGAAACAGACTACCTTGGGGAGTTACCCTGAAATACCCCCTTGGAATAGAAGCAGCTTCTGTAGCTGTATAGTCAGCAAGGCCTAAGAAGCTTCCATAGGCTGGCAGACACTGAGGATGACTCCCAGCTGGATAGGCTCAATGGTGAATTAGTCTCATCTGACAGTTGAAACATGGCTTAGCCCAGATTCTCAGCAGCCGGCTGTCTGCTATTTCAGGTGAATGTAGAACAGATGTATTTTTAAAGTTTTGTGCAAAAAACCCAAAAAGCTTTTGGAGAATTCTAATTGTGCATAATGTATGTAAGTACTAAATTATTTAGCACTTAAGCTGTTGATAGAACTAAAATGTGATCTATATTGAAAATAAAACAGCAGACTGTTCACTTCCTTCCTTAATGAACACAGAAAAAATTGTACAGCATTTCAAAATGAGTTGCTTTTTGAATACATTTGCAAACATAGGATTAGTTTCTATGCCAAAATACCTAATATAGGGAATGGATATTATTATATTACAGCAGGATGCACTCAGAACAGCATGGCACTGCACTACGCACTATACATATGCATAGTAAGAGATACTCCCTGCCCCAAAGACCCTACAATCTAAACAGACAAGACAGACAAAGGTTTGGAAGAGGAAGCAGAGATACAGCAGGGCAGGGGCTGAGCTGGGAACACCATGCGGGCCTATTGAGTCCCAATCGTACATTGCTTAAATATAACAATGTTATGTTTTACCCATTACATTTGGCATTCTTACTAACAGCAAGAAATAATCTATGCATAGGGATTCATATTATATATATGAAATAAAAGAACTGATCAAATACAACAGATCATAATTTTTCAAGAATTTTGTTTTGTAAAATAAACACAAAAGAACAGCAAGTGACGTGATTCCATTAAAGATGACATGAAAAGGAAATTAAAAATATGGGTTTTGGCCTTTAGAAGATACTTTTTATATAGAAGGCCTACAAGATTTTTTTTCAGCAAAAGCTTGCCAGCCCCAGAATGAAAACCATGTTCTTTTAGCTTAGAGCACCATCCGGGCCAAACAGGAAAGTCATTTAGTTTTTTTGTCTCCGTTATTTTTGCCAGTAAAAAGGGCATAATGACACTTAGCACTTTTTCAGCTGCAGACCTCAAGTCGCTTGACAAAAGTGGCTAAGCCTGAGTAGTGCTGTTTTACAAACAAACTAGGCACTCGGATGTGAAGCAATTTTCCAGAGCGCCCCTGTAGTCTAGTGGATGAGAGATAACTCTCTCTCACACTCCCCACCAACTGTTTACACATGAAACAGAAGCTGTGACATTCCAGCTAGCTGCACTAAGGGAGTACAGGAGCCACTACTGCTAGGAACTAGCTCTCTCGGAGGACTCCAATAAGCCCAGGCTAGAGTGCCATTCCCTCAAGCCTCATCTCCCTGGAGAGAGCTCCTTCTTCATCTCAACCTCTTCTTACACATAAGGATTACAGAATCCACAGCATCCCAATGGACACTACTTCAAAAGCAAATCTTTGTCAACTCCACCTTCTCCTGCAGCCTGGCCTTGACTCTGTCTCCTGAGGAATAGAGAGTCCATTTGAAATTCACATTTCTATCTGAAAACGTTGTATCTGCTATTGTTATAAGTAAAACATTCGATTACTAGAATTGAAAGAGACTTGCGTTTGTCTGTTTTTGCAGTATACCAAGGGCTGGTTTACATACAGTGTTTGCACCGAGAGAACCGTATTGGTTTAGAAATTAATACAGTTAAATTGGTGCAGCCCTAGTGCAGATGCAGTTATATCAGTACTGACATTAACATATATCTCATGTGTCTGCATCCTCACTGGAAGGTTATACCACTTTAACTATATCAGTTTCGAACAGATGTCGTTAAATCAGTGCACAAAGTGCATATAGACCAGCCCTTACTTTGTGCATTTGGCTTGTGCATAGTGTGTTTTGTTGATGGCACTTCCTATCTCATGCATTATTATTACATCATTCTCAGGCAAATCTCTGGAGAGCTCACAAGCACAGTCCTCCCCAGGTTCTGCCAGTGGGTGTTTATCAGTAATAGCAGCAACACTTTAATTGCAGAGGCAGCAGGCAGATATTTGCACAAAATGAAAAAGATTAGAGGGGTGATTGGGCCCAAACATTTTTGGTGTTGTTCCCACAAGTAAGTAAGACAACATGAAGTTTGCATGTGAAGTTGCACAGTTTGCTCTTTTTCTTAATTTTCTACCATGTTTTGTGGGATGTTCTCTCTCTCTCTTTGCACTAGAGGATCTAAAATGATGTCAAAGAATAGAAGAGCTTGGTAAAAAC